GAAGAATCCGCTGTATTTGTTTCAGTTTATAAATAGACTTGGATAGAAGTACGATGTCTTACCAATGCTAATTTCTTGGATCTTGTTTCTATATTAAGATTAAAGGTTTTAAACTTTTGCTATTAGGCAAATTGTTTCGATGTTTCAGCAATTTCAGTTCGTATTTGGAGAGAAGCTCCCATGAAATGAAACATTGATAAAAAATTAAAGTGTCATCGATCGAAATCCTTTATAATATCGAGAGCTGTGGCTTTCTGGATTGACATTAGTTTGCATGCGACCGAGCACGTGCTATGTATATAAATACCTGCTCTTCAATGTATTATGCTTTCTTGTATCAATTAGCGCCTAAGCTTAAAGATAAAAACACCTTAGCGGTGAATTGTATCTAATTTGTGGCTGTCAACAAGAAGGTAATTATCGGTGCTTTCTATCGTGGCTATTATGCCTTGGGCAGAGCAACTTCACGAGTCCAGGAAATGACATGATACACATTCTGCGGCATAAACAGACTTTCTTCTATCACCATCAAAATGGCTTTATAGTGGCGTTGACTTTTTCATGATAATATTGTATAATTTCATCTCGAATACTCGAACAAAAATGTATCCAGCTCCATGTGCAATTAAAACCTTAATTGAGCCTTCAGTCTATTCTACTAAAAACCAAAAAGATGAGTAACAAACCTTCCAAAAAAGTTGGGGTACAATTCCAATAGTCACTTTCGCAGTGTCGCAGTGATGACACTATCTGCTAGTTCGTTGTCGCCTCAGACAAAACCTACATCTTGCTGAGGAGTTGCCAGACCGCACGAAACAACTCTCCATGGTTGGCCATCTGTGGTCGGACACACGAAGGCTGTATTACTACTTTGTTCAATGGCGAGTGGGCCGTATCTACTGTAGGATCAGAATCGGCGGCATCTTGCGGCCACATTGCTGTCTCCACTTTCACTGTGGTGGGTTCTGATAATAGATGGCATGCTCATACAAAGAGGTTGGAGGAAGGTCAACTTATAGTGGGACAACTTGCTTAGTCTGCCAGAAGTTGTCCACGAGGAGATGTCATTGCTGCATTTGACCTTGCAATAATGCTTCGCAAAGTATACATAGAAACCAGCCATCAGAATTTAAGTTACATTCACTTACGTTTCTCACCTTGTACCAATTAATACAAGGTGATCAGAGTACATATTGACGGTACTCAATGTCCCACGTTTTGTCTATAAGACAATATGAGATCTTGGACTAAACTGCTATTGAACCTCAGGACATGCATATTGTTATAGAGCTAACCAATCGTTCAAATATTCCACCCACACTTTGCGATATCTTGGTAGACTGATGTAGCCCCAGTACGTATAATAAACTTACTTGAGAACATTAATAAACAAAGTTTTCTTGCGAAGATGATGGTGTACTTCCCGCTAAGTTGAAGTATTATTTTCATCTCGTTACATGCTGTTTAGCTACGAAATTAAATTGCGTGCATAGTCACTAACCCACTTCAGCTTCTCATAATTATATTATGATGATAGCTGCTGCAACAGGGTAATCCAAGCGGTCTGGGTTAACAGAATACATTATTAACAGGCAATTAGAACTAGTATTGCTGTTGACCTGAACAACTTTGCAGATTAATTGGTTTGGGTTTCACAGCAAAAACACGGGACACAGAGCCCTTGAATCACTTGTGGTGAGATATGTAACCAAAACCGGTGTAGGCCGGAATAAAAAAAATCTCTGTATTGCATTTTATACGTATATGTCACTTTGTATATATTTTTCTACCTGTTTCATGCTACAATCCCCGTAATTACCCAACGGCTAGACGTGCCTGCAAGCTCATAGATTTTGCAGATCGTTCTCAGTTTTGAGTCGTAGACCTTCATAAGTACTGGTATCGAAATCATCGAGACGATCAAACCCATCAAGACGGATGGTATGTTTTGGAATTGCGAGAATCGGAATCGAAAGGAATCCTATTCTTCATCATCATTAAATCATGAACTTACACTAAGTTGTCTTGGATACTCATTTCGATTGGTAACGAGGCTCTTGCGTAAAATTAGATAATCTTTGGGTACTTTGAATGAGAGTCTAGAAGACGAGGAATGCCAGTGTGGACCATAGTAGGCGATTAAACATTACAACGTCAAGTTAGCAGTTCACAGCAAAATGCCGCACGCGAAATATGGGCGTTGTAAAATATATCATACTTTGTCAAACGGCCCCACTAAAACTCAGCTCCAGGTGTAATTAAAATTTTCTGTCGCGAAATCTCTTACTTAATATATAGTCGAACTATAAAAGTCCTTTTCACTTCGCATCAAGGATAACATGAAATATAGCGGAACTCTCCGATATTGTTTTTTCACGCCGCCTTGCTAACAGGTATTTATCAGTTTCGCTCACTCACATCGAAATAGTACATTAAATACCTTGGTGGAAACGTGTGCCATTATTGGCCGAAGACCTTTGTATTCGTCGCATAGTGCGAGGACAATAACCACTTTGGTACTTATAGAATTCTATACACTATCAATATATTATTACACTAAGATTGATTAGACTATGAAATATAGCATATCTGGTAATTTCTTTAACGCCTGGCAACGCCGTTGGATAAGGTCAACGCTGCCGCCACACGATGAGTGTGGCATGAAAATGCTACATCGACACATAATTTTTTTCTCACTCATTCTTGAGTAAACCAATCAAGTAGCCTGGAACATAGTCTGTATTTACTAGTAGTAAACAATAGTTATTACTAATATTCAGGAATGAATAACAGAGCCCAAAAGCAGTTACTATTCTGTGCCTAACAAGCCAAAGAAGCTCTACACGTATCCAGAAATTCACTGTTAACCTGGGTTTTTTCCTAGGGGGAGAATTGTAGCTTCTCCTTAAGGGAAAGTAGTACATAATGGTGATTTCTCAGTTAACTAGTGAAAAAACATAACTAACGACAAACGCAAACTGTTTGGATGCAATAGAGCATCTTGTAGATTCAGGCTGCTCGACAAGTCGGTCTGCTAGGAAGAACAGGCAATAGAGCAGAAACAACCACTATATGGTATGGTACAAGATTTTTGATGATTACAAACGTTTTGTATTTCAAGAACTGGAACTAGTCAGAACAATCTAATAGCGTCTGATAAAAATTATATGACGGTATTGCCTAGGCTTTAGTGCAAACGGTTGAAAGCCTATCATAATAGAAAACGGAGCACGTATATGGCATTGCGTCTATGAAGTTGGTCTTCTCAGGAATAAAAAATGTACTAATCAACAAATTTTTCAAATGTACCATTTAAAACGCAGCTGTTATTACTTTCGTGTTTCTTTATATGTACTTTTTTACTGTCTTAAAACAGTAGGTGCCTTTTGAATGTATACAATCGCATCAAAATGGCTGAGAGTGCTAAAACAAAGTTATTGTGTTGCAAATCCGGAATACATGAGCGGTAGGGCTGGTAATCTCAGCTCCCATCTCTGCGGAAGTTAACTTCCAACGTAAACCAACTTTATTGGATTTTTATTCACATTTTTGTAGACATTTTTCCGTTTGCGGCATACTTAAATGTACGACAACTGCCGTTAATCCAGTGTGTACTAACAACGTCATAAAATTACCATACAGCCGCAACAAAACTGGTAGTACATCTGTAGTTACTCCATAAACGGCCTGATATCAGGTGCTCTATGACTTATGGTCACGCATCCTGCTTTAAACGAAAAATCGAATGGATCGGTGAGTCGGTATCACAATATATTAACCACATATTTCTAATTAAATTTTACATAGTTTTATATTTTGTGATATGAGGAATATCATGTCCTTTTACTACGGTAATCGCGAAAGCAAATCCTTAGTAATGCAGTACCTCGGAAACCCAGTTGATTTAGAGTTTGAACTGGCTAAGGTCAGTAGAACCAGAAAACGCATCTTCTGGTACCTGGTATCGCACGAGCAACATATCGTAGGCATGAAGAGGCTATGGGGGTAATACTCCATTTAATACAGTCACTTGGTAGGTTTATCTAGAAAAATCTGAAATTTTTTTTCAAACGTTGATATATTTGAAGATTTTGACTTTGCTATTGCCGTATCTCTTGCACTAGCGTCGCCATATTCAAAAAATGTTGCTTAAACACTTTTTTACAAGGTAACTCAACTAGAGCAAGTCTTCCACAATTTATGTTCATTTATTGTTTGTGAGACGAACAGATATGACGCAGCAGCTTGGCTTACGAATGTTCAGAAAAACATACGTTGGTTGAAGAATCTAGTGCTCCACCCGAAAACGTCTTGAAGCAGTTTCAAGATCATTGCCTCTCCATATGCATTCTGACGTACGCTTTCTGAATTTTTACGTTGCTACTTCGTATCTTTACCTCTAACTCTATCAGATTAGAAAAATAGTGACAAAGACGGTGCTCTGATTACGTTTTTACACCATTATGTCCAGTCTTTTTTACCTCAAAATTCTAACATATCCTAGTATACACTTTTATAACCATGACGGTACTAGAGGGAACAATACGGGGTATCAAAGTGAAAACTGGTATCGCTGATCGAGATCGTTACGAATATAACTTTTCCAAGCTTTTCCAGGAGTTACCAGGCAAGCACTCTTTGAGCAACGATGCTCCTATCTGAACTGTATCAACTATGGCTGATAAGGCTGCAGCCCGCTAGGTTTTATTTTTAATAAGCCAACTTTCTCGTAACAGTTGTTGCAGCCATGTGGTTGTTTAGGGAATCTAAAGTGCACCGCATTACTGCACCGTTGGCATTAACTGCTACATTAAGTAATCCCGTAACGTCCTTTGTAACCAAAAAAGACTCAATTCGTTCTAACGTTACATTTTAATGCGCCGTCTATAAGCGCATCTACTTGAAAGCTTCCGTTTCTGAGAATTCCGCAATTTACTTAAAATGCCTCTCTAACCTTGGTTATTTTCTAAATCGCAGTCAATTGTACTCTTTGGTTTTAGAAACTGTTGCATGCTGCGAAGCCATGAAGTTGTTTCACGTCTCGGTTGAGGTGAACTCACAGCTTTACATGAAATCGTGTCTTTCTGAATAAATCGACTTTTTGCATGATTCCTGAATTGTTTCCATTATTAGATTGTTTTCTTTTTGCCATTTACAATCATATCATTAGAGTAAACAGTTCAGCATGTTTCTCCTAATATATATTGTATCGATATAAATAAAGGGAGATGCGAAAGGTAAGTCTTTATCCCGCTTAACTATAAAAATATACTAACTCTGTGCTCAGTTGGTAAATAATGTGATCTTAGAGTGGGGTTCTTTATACTTTGGTCTTTGATACAAATTTTTGAGGCTTGGGCGTCACCTAGTTCCGGGAAGCTAGGAAAAAGAAATAACAAGTACTGCCTTTCGGCTCATTAAAAATTAAGCTGACTACCAAATGATGAGTCTCTGGAGCTAAAAGAAACACAAATTCACAAGGCACACAAACGCTTATGAAACAAAACAAAATTAAAAGAAGTTCTTGGAGGAAAGGAAAGCAAGGAAGCAAAAGGAAATTAGGTGGTAGTACCCCCAGCTAAATGGTTGCCAGCAAAAACAAAATCGAAAAGAAATCACCTTGGTAGGTGCTTGGCTATTACATAATTGTGGAATTGATTACCACACAATAGAAGAGTTAGCCGCTATGGAGCTTCTCGAAGAAAAGGCTACCAATGTTGCTTATAAATATTGTTCGGAGTTGTAGTCATTTGATTCATTACCACAAATTTGTTAAACTCTTCCCAAGCTTCCAACATTCGGGGCTGTCTAGGTTTTTACTATGCTCACCTCGACATTGTTATGAATGCTTTAGTACGAGATAAAGCTATCTACCTACCTACCTGCCTATGAAAGCGATCTTTATGGAAGCGATCTGTTTGCACTCGTTAAGCATCATCAGCATTTTGACAAGATCCTGTATGCTAACATCACATCGTCAAGTTCATCATTGCTACAGAATGTTTAATTTTCGGTTTTTTGAAACCTATTTATATAAACAAACAGCTCGGCTTACATACACGACGCGCGGCGCCTGGGTTGAGTGCTGAAATAAGCCGTATGTTTTTACCTAATTTTGAATGATGAGTTCGGGTGTCAGTTCCGGATTAGTTATCGCAGATTTTCCCTAAGTATAATAACTCGGGTATCTGCAGGGAAATCATAACTTTCAATGTACTTTGCATGAAGAATCTTACCGAGCATAAAACCCGTGCAAAGTACATGGGAACACTAAAAAATAATGAGACATCATCTCCACAATATCGATTAAATAAAGACGTTTGTCTTTCTTCTAGGTATGTTGCTCAAAACGATTAAAAATGCGAAGCTGTTGGTATTAGACAAAAGTAGCGTTAACTAGATACTATACTTCCCACATCTTCCTTAAAATTTGCCCATTTCGAAGCAAATCTTAAGGTATGTTCACGTAAGTGATATTTCTGCTTCAACGGTAGATGTATGTAAATTATATGTGATATTAGTGCCTTCGTAATAACAGAACGTATTTCACTGATGTCAAAAATGCAACATTCACCATCTGCAACTCCAAACCCCAATTTTCAACCTCCCCATAACACCACTTCAGAAACGTCGAAACAAGATGTTTCAGCGATTTTTGTTTTTCTTCCGCGGCTACCCGTGCGAGGTATTGAGTTAATCTACCTGACAAAATTCTCTTCTTATTATTTTTTCCCGTGAGGATCAAGCTCTTATCAACGAAAATATGTATGTACCTACTTATATCCAGAAAATCATTACACACATTTAAGAACACAAGCTGATGGTTTGTAGAAATGGGTACACTCATGGCTCATGAAATTCAGAACAAGATCTGTAAGGTGTTAAATTTGACAAATTATCATTCACTAGAGTATATTTCCATATAGCCATATCGACTATTTCAGTTTCTTAATTCCACTGTCTCGCAGAATCTTGTTACCTGTTCCTATTGCCTGCTGATTTCACGATCAGACACTTCCTAATAGTATAACGTCACTTGTATCACATATGTCGCATATACAACCTTCTACTCCCCACAATTCCCAAATTTTACCCTACACATTTTTTTCTGGAAATGATCTGAAACGTCAAAAAACCCAGTTTAAGCAACTTTCTTCTTTTTTTGGCCTTTTTCTCCGCCGTCACTACACCGATTTTCAAAGGCTACAAATATGTTACGTCCTTGGCACAGCAATAACCTTGTGTAAGAATTTCATCTTAACCAGAGCAGTACTTTCCAAGTTATAGACGGTCCAAAGATGTGCGAGCAGGCTGATAGACAGACAGATTGACGAACATGGATTACATGTTTTGTTGTGATGTACATGTCATATAAAATCCAAAACACGTAATATCTCATTGTCGAAATTCTTCGCTATTACAAAACTTCCTTCGGAAGTAAAAATGTAGTCCAGAACCATCTAGTAATATTAAGCTGGTAGAAAGATTATTTTCTAGTGCGGAGGTTTTTAGGTTAGCGGTCTATCATAGGATCATGATCATAGAATTCGTAAAAGGATACCACTCTCAAGAGGTGTTATATGTAATATTTTGTGTATCTGAAAGTATACTATTTTTCCTGTCCTAATGGTGCATGAAAAATACAAACAAAAAGAAAAACCTTACATTGTACCTTGACAAATCGTAGAAGCAAATGCTGCTCAAGTTTCTTTAACAAATAATTCGTGGGATATTTCTGTTTCCTCACTCACGCCACCCCAATTAAATTTCTTAGGGATGTAATGCGAGGCGACAAAAAGTGGGAGGGATAAGATGCGATAAGATTCATACCGCTCCATTCACAGCTTGTCATCACAATATATCTGTTACACAAAAACGAAATATGAACGGGGGTGAAAAAATGTAGAGGGTTCCATTGTGTAGAATGTGTCACTTCCAGGATAACTGCCACTTTTCCTCAGTAAACATATGGTCGCTGAGTGATATCCACATAGGAAGAAACCTTTTAGGTACAATAGGTAAGTTGTATGTAAGGATAACCTTTGAATGGTAGTGCCTAAAAGCAGAGTATTAGAGCGGATAAAAGGTGATCACGAGTAAAGGAAATCATCGTTCAATCATTTGTCGGAAAAGTAAAACCATTCTCCCGACAGAATATCTTGGACTCTCAATTACACAAGAACAACAAAATTCGAATCGCTCGCCCATGACAAGTCGGCTGCCATACTGATAGTGACGACAAACATGAATATGGGTGATGAGCAAAAAACTGTACGTTATATTGAATTTTCGCATTTTGAGATAAGCTGACCTGGGCCTACTGTTCTAGTTAGTCTAGAAATTATCTTCGCTTCCGTCTGCAAATTTATATTCATTCGGTTTTTTCCATACTCCCAAAACAATTTTTGATCAAAGTCCAAACAATGTTTTTTCAGCTCGAAGAAAGCTTTTCTAAGGTTGTTGGGCTACTATGAACAGGAAAGGTTCTGACGAACCTCTAAAGTAAGTTAGTTTTCTTGAAATTAGCTCCTGTGAAGACGGAAGTAATTATAGTTTCTGGCAGACAGAAGCTAACTGAATTAGCTGTTAAGGTAGATATGGCCGAGATTCGGAGCCAAAATGCAATTAAGTATCTGGGTGTGTGGCTTGACAAAGATCTAAAGGTGATTGAGCATATAAGGCGCACCACTGGCAAGGCAAATAAGGCCGATGCATCTCTGATACGGCTAATGCTATCTGATAGAGGCCCTAGTAGTGAGAGGCGCAAGATTTTGGCAGAGGTGGCAAACTTGAATATGCTGTAAGGAGCTTCTATATTAAACAAGACCTTGGGGAAAAGGAAATATAGACAGCTAATACTAAGAAGCCAGCAAAATTAGTGCTGCGCGTGGTATGCGCTCACACAACGGTGTCGACCGATGCCCTGCTGGTGGTAGCTGGTATCCCGTCAATTAATTTGCTTGCTGCGGAGAGATAGATTACAAGCAACGCTTTTTGTCAGCTGGCGGTAGAGATGGGATGTAACTGGCCACGGTGCATGAACCAGAAGGCAGATCCCAAAAATTAAAACTTGGATTGACAAGGAGGCGGTCCGGATAGATCACTGCACAGTTCCTAACAGGACATGGTTGTTTTGATATATACCTGAAGAGGGTAGGAAAGAGAGAGTACGTTAATTGCGTATATTGTAATGAAGAGGATATTTCATATCATCTACTTGACTGTGGTAGGTGGGTTGACTACCGGGCACAGCCGGAATTGACGCTCGGCGGGAGCCTCACTATTGACAATTTTGCCTCGCCCATACGCGAGGCGAAGTGGGTTGATATTCAACTAATAGTGACGCGAATGATGCTGATTGAGGTACGGGAGAACAACCATAGACCAGGAAATCGAAAGTATGTTTTTGCCGAGCTTCACCGCCTGATAGTTACTAGAAAGTCTTTCCGCTGTAAAAAAAGTTAGTTTTTGAGATATAAGTAGCCAACTGAATCCGTCTTGCGCTCACGCAGAAGATAAATTGATCATGCTCAAATGACAATTAAAAAATAGAGGCTCACAATAAACAATGGACCTAAGATGGTTTGGGATCTTTTGAATGTTTGTAAAATGGTTAAGAAAACATTGGCAACTTTCTTTTCGTTTTTTGATGAACACCTGAAAAAGGAGCCAAAAATCCATTTTTGTAGCCTGTTTAAAAACGCTGTTCAGGCAATTTTTGGGGCAATTTTGGCGCTAGCTGCATAGATACAAAAAATCCTTCTTGAATGAGGTTATGCAAAAACAGTGAATCAGAATATTTTTCTGGATGCACAGATACTGCCTGTCTCACAGAGAGGTCGATGAGCTGAACGAAGATTCGTGGCATAATTCATCGCTTTTTCATTATTTCAATCGGTATCAAACGCGTCTGAGAATATCTTCTCGATGCAATGGATGTTTCAGGAGAACGAAGAGGCGTGGTGCTGTTAAAGCAATATCCGATAATGGCCGTGCGCTTAAGCGGCTCGAACCGCGCGGAAATGGACGTTTGGCGCTTAAACAGAACGGCCATAATTGTCTGCATAAATTCTAGTGTAGCTACACTCACTA